GATTGCTAGTATCACTCAGCCCTCTGTGAACAGTAAACAGCCATCAGGTGCTAATGATCCATTGTTAGACTGATGGTCCTTCTTGATCATGTGATCAGCTGGTTCTGGTTGTCAGCAGCAAAACTGGTTGATCCACTCTGAGAAGGTGCTATTTAAGAGACTGAGCTGAATACAGCGCCTCAGACTGAAGAAGTATCTCGGACGAGAGACGAAACGTTTCTAAATTTTTTGTTGTTTTGCTTTGTTTTGGGTTTTTTGAATGTCCAGAGGACCAGATTGAACTTTTTTTAGAAATTTAACACATTGTTCTGTTTCGAAGAGAGAAAACGTAACGTCAGTCTGTCTGGTAGATGAAGCTGTTTGTTTGTTTATTTTCTGATTAATGACGGTGATAGAGAACGTGTGTGTTACTTTTTATTTAATTTAATTGGTACAAGCAGTATTCAAATGTGATTTATAAATAAATCTAACACAAAGATAATAATTTAATGATTAAGCTTTAACTTTTAATTTGCTGGCAAAGTCTGAAGACACTGCAAGTATGGCAGGATGAATTGCATTTAAACAAGAATTAAAGTCATTTATTACATCTACTCAAATGTGTGTAATTAAGTATTTTATATGTGTGTGTGTGTGTGTGTGTGTTTAATTGCTCTTTTAGCTACTTTTGCCTGAACCTAACACTGTAAGTGAAACAAGGCATTTCTTGAGTTGCTGTAAATTATGTTATAAAACATATTTACTGTCTCATTCCAGAAAACAACAACAAACAACAACATCCTTCATGATGGACAGACATCATGGACACCACAGCAGCAGCTGTCTTCACTGAAACATCCTGAACATGATCGTCACTGACATGAGACCTCTGTCGATGGTTGAAGACGAAGGCTTCACTACAATGATCCACACTTTTAATCCAGGTTACAATAATCCACACTTTTAATCCAGGTTACACTCTTCCCTCAATGACACATTTTACAAAGTAGCTACATACTGTGCAGGTATAAAGACACATTTGTATATATTTTTGTGTACATTTGTTTTTTTAAACTATTTGACTAACTTTTATTTTTTTTATTCAATATTTTACCAACAGAATAGTCAAATAGCAACCTGTTTTTTGTGTGAATTGCTATGTCAGTCAAATTTTCAATTTTGGAATAAAGGGGTGGAAATTGAAACGTGTTTTTTTTTTTTGCCAATTTGTCGATTAATCGAAAAAATAATCGGCCGATGAATCGATTATTGAAATAATCGTTAGTTGAAGCCCTACATATAAGTCTGTCAAACTAAAGAAACGTCAGAAAACTAAAGAAATACGTGATATAATTCAAACTTATGAGTTTGGGTTCAGTCACCTTATTTGTCCCTGCTGATCTCTGAAGTCCATCTGGGGTAAAACCAGACCAGGACTTGAATGGACCACCACAGGCATTCTGAAGTCCAAGTAAGCTACTTGAACCCACCACTGAGAAAGCTGCAGAGAAACGGAATTCAGATCAGAAAGTATTTTAGTAAAGAGGTAGGAGATAATTTCTTCTCTTCAGAGTTTTATAAAAACCCTTTGTTCAAACTGTGTTCTGTTTGTTCTTAAATTCAACTAAAGAAAAACTGAGACAAATTGTTGAAAATTTTAAATTAAATCAAATAAAAGCAGGACATATTCAGGTCCAAGAATTGAAACTCAGGGAACAAATCAGCAGAAGTCCCCCCCCCCCCCCCAAAAAAAAAAACAAAAAACAAAACAAAACTGAAAGAACTTCAGAAAATGACTAAAACTTCCTGTGGAAAAGTAGCAGAACCCTGGCTGAAAGCTAAAAGTTGCAGTGGGCTAACTAAAGGCTGAAGTAGCAAAAGGATGACTAAAAGCTAAAAGTAGCAAAGCACTAAGTAGCCAAATAGATAAATTAGCAGCTAAAGTAGTTAGGTTATAAAACTAAATAGGAAGACAACAATGAAACTAATGAGAAACTGCTGAGTCAGTATTCAGATAGTAAAAGGGATTAAGACTTTTGCACAGAACTGGACTTGTCTGAACAGAACCGGTCTGTGGGTTTACCCAGTTCTCTGTCATACTCGCTCTCTTCTCCAGGCCTCTCTGCAGCCGCTCTCCGACCCCTCCTGGTCTCTGGAAGTCCTGAACCAGTTCTTCGGTCCTGGTCAGTTCGTCAGCCTCCACGATGGGCTCCAGAGCATTAAGGTAACGCTCACAGGTCTGCTGCAGAGGGGGGACGGGCAGAGCCGGCAGCCCCCTCTGGTGGCTCAGGTACCTGCCAGCGACGCGGGTTGCTGATACCGGCTTCACCAGGTGACACGGTCTCTTGAACAGACACGTCTTTGCCATCCCCACCTATTCAAGAGAGACACGATCAGGTCCAGAACAAAGATAAATGTGTTTTTGTTGACAAATTCTGTTTATTTGCATTTTGTCTCGCAGGTTCATGCCAAGGTCTGGTTAAATGTTCCACAGTTTTAAAGCCAATCATTGGTCAGGGAATAAAGCTTTAAGGTAGGGCTGGACGATATGGCCAAAACTTTTATCGCGATATATCTCTTAATTTCGGTCGATAACGATATAATTCAATATCAACAATATAAAAGCCTCAGAAAAACTACAAAACTATACAAATAAATTAATGTTCACCTTTAATTTGTATTTAGCCTTAAAAAAAATGAAATCACTGCCAAAATAAACATAAAATTCTCAACTTTGTCAATATTAATAGTTTTGACTTTAAACAACAACTTTAAAATTGACAGCATTGAAATTAGTTGTTAATAAAATAAACATTTTGGGTCTCATTATTGATGAGAAGCTGACATGGAAATCTCATGTAAAATACTTAAAAATAAAAATAACAATCAGTTGCATTACTGTATAAAGTAAAATAGTTTTTGAATGACAAAGCTTTGTATATGTTGTATAATGTAATGAGTGCTCCATATTTAATCTATTGTAATGAAGTTTGGGGAAAAGCATGCAAAACAATTACAAATCCTATTTTTATTTTTACAAAAAAGAGCTGCAAGAATTATTAGTAGTATGAAGTGCTATGGTCACCCAACAACTATATTATGTCATCAATTGAAATTATTAAAATGTTATGATTTGGTTGTGTAATGAACTAGACCTCCGGCATCAATCCGTCTCTGAGGACCTTCAGGGGACAGGAACTGTTATTTCATTGATTTGAATCCAGAAATACAAATTATCTCATCAAGAGACTATTTAATTGTATCGTGAATTAATCAATCGAAAGAACACTCTTCTTTTTTATATTATCATTACTATTTTACAATATCTTGATAATCAAAAGTGTGTTTAGTTCATACCATTTCTAATTTTGAAGTAAACTACTCATTTAAATCAACTGTGAAACAGTATTAATGATTTTTAAACCTCATTAGACTTAGATCATACAAGTTAAATGTCTATTTATAAAGTAAGTGTGCATTTTAATTTTCTGTCTGAATGAGGAGTGTAGGATTTGATGTCAGTCAAAAGTCAGAGAACAGGTTATGAGAACGAAGTGCCTTGTTTTAAAACTCTCAGACAGTAAATAAGAACTGGCTGGCACCTGCAAGTCTCACTTCTTCAAAATATTTTCCTGTCTGTACTAACCGTTCTTAAAAACATTTCTGCTGTCTGTTGACTTCTAATAACCCTCCGACTTCACTAAAACTACACCCCTGCTGGTTGTGCTAACCAATCAGGAAGTACCATGTAACAGGAAGTGGATACCCTTTAAAAGTCAACACTTATTGGAACTAGTCAGTCTTACTGGGACTTTAAGTCTTATGTCTTCCTGGAACTCTCAGTCTAGGATGAGACTCAGTCTTACTGGAAGACTCAGTCTTACGGCGAGTCGTACAGGAACTTTCAGTTCTTACTGAAAGTCTGTTTTGGAGTTCTGGCTGGGACTGCAGTCTTGCTGGAGTCTTACAGCTGAACTAAATAAGCTGATGGAGTTTGACCATGAGCCAAGGGTCCATCCATTCCAGCGGAGTCACAGCATGCCTCGCTGTGAACTCACCCCGAGCATTAAATGCTCTCAACTTCTAAGGAAGCTTATTCTGTTGAACGGAGTACTTCATCACGACTTCTGACGATTCCCAGCCACTCTGACCGGAGACGCTGAAAGATGGCGTGAAATGGACCTCTGTACCGGAGCTGATTTATCTTCTGCCAAGGTAACGAGTCGTCACGCGAATCAAGTGTACCGAGGGCTGAGCTGGGGTCGGAGGAAAGGTGCCATTTCTGGTCAACACATCTTCCTTCATCCATCTAAATCCTCCTCTTTAAACTTCTTTACTCCTTCTCTTTAAACTTCTATTCGCCAGTAAATCAAGCTAGATGCCTTCAGAGATTAATTATTCTCCATCAGTAATCCTCTGTTGTCTTATTTGAACTTGCTAAGTTTATTAATCAGAAACAGATCAGCCAATCAAGTGTACATGTTTAGATTAAAATTTTGATTCTGTTAAATAAATGACCTAGGGCTGCAACAACGAATCGATAAAATCGATAAAAATCGATAAAAATCGATGATTAAAAGCGTTGGCAACGAATTTTGTTATCGATTCGTTGTGTCGCGCGATTATGTATCTTTCACAGCGCTGCGGAGCCGTTTCGTTTTGTTCACCTGCAGTTCATTGTCAATGCTGACTGACTGAATAAAGTTTGGAAAAAAAAAAAATGCAGTGCGAGTTGAACAGAGCGAGGGGGGAGCAGAGCAGGGTGTTTTCAAAGGAAATTAAGTAAATTTTACAAATGACCAACGCAGCGAAAACTGTTCGACACAAGTCCTCCAAAGAGTGGAAGAACTTCACAAAGATAAAAAATGAGAAACATGCCGCTTTGAAAATCACCGACACGACACGGGAGAACCACGGAGATAAAACGTAAACATGTCGGAGTCATGAGGAGGAGGAAGGAGCTGCAGCTGATACAACATGTTTCACTCCCAACTCGTGTTGCAGGTGAGTCTCTACAATTTAACACATTGTTCTGTTTCAAGAGAGAAAACGTAACGTCAGTCTGTCTGATAGATGAAGCTGCTGCTTGTTTGTTTGTTTGTTTATCTGATTAATGACGGTGATAGAGAACGTGTGTTACTTTTTATTTAATTTAATTGGTACAAGCAGTGTTTAAATGTGATTTATAAATAAATCTAACACAAAGATAATAATTTAATGATTCAGCTTCAACTTTTAATTTGTTGGCAAAGTCTGAAGACACTGCAGGTATGGCAGGACGAATTGCATTTAAACAGGAATTAAAGTAATTTATTACTTCTACTCAAATGTGTGTAATTAAGTATTTTATATATATATATATGGGTGTGTGTGTGTGTGTGTGTGTGTGTGTGCGTGTATGTTTGTGTGTTTAATTGCTCTTTTAGCTACTTTTGCCTGAACCTAACACTGTAAGTGAAACAAGGCATTTCTTGAGTTGCTGTAAATTATGCTATAATACATATTTACTCTCTCATTCCAGAAAACAACAACAAACAACAACACTTCATGATGGACAGACATCATGGAAACCACAGCAGCAGCTGTCTTCACTGAAACATCCTGAACATGATCGTCACTGACAGTAGGGCCTCTGTCGATGGTTGAAGACGAAAGCTTCACTACAATGATCCACACTTTTAATCCAGGTTACAATAATCCACACTTTTAATCCAGGTTACACTCTTCCCTCAATGACACATTTTACAAAGTAGCTACATACTCTAAAAAAGTTAAATCTGGTCCTCTGGACATTCAAAAAAACAAAACAAAGCAAATCAACAAAAAAATGTAGAAACGTTTCGTCTCTCATCCGAGAGACTTCCTCAGTCTGAGGCGCTGTATTCAGCTCAGTCTCTTAAATAGCACCTTCTCAGAGTGGATCAACCAGTTTGCTGCTGACAACCAAAACCAGCTGATCACATGCTCAAGAAGGACCATCAGTCTAACAATGGATCATTAGCACACTGATGGCTGTTTACTGTTCACAGAGGGTTGAGTGATACTAGCAATCACAGCATTGTAAGAGGGGGACAGTTGAACCCGGAGGCCTCCACCCCTGTTTAATGATGGACGATTTCTTTTCACAAAGATGGCCTCCTTTACTCCTCTCTCAAACCATCGTTCCTCTCTGTCAAGGATGTGAACATCTTCATCCCTGAAAGAGTGACCGCTGGCCTGGAGATGAGTGTAGACCTCAGAGTCCTGGCCTGATGATGTTGATCTTCTGTGCTGGGCCATCCTTTTGGCCAGTGGCTGTTTTGCTTCCCTGATGTAAGACTGATCACCCTCCTGACACTGAACAACATACACAACATTGCTCTGTTTGTGCCGGGGGACTGGATCTTTGGGATGAACCAGTTTTTGCCGTAATGTATTTTGGGGTTTAAAAGCCACTGGGACGTTATGTTTAGAAAATAAACGTCTCAGTTTCTCTGATACTCCCTCAACATATGGAATGACCACTGGTCTGGGTCTGGGTTCCTCCTTTTCACCTGTTGGCTGACTGGAGTCCTGTTTGGGTTTCTTCTCTGCTTTCAGGAAGGCCCAGTTAGGATATCCACATTGCTCTAGAGCCTGTCTGCCCAGCACAGAAGATCAACATCATCAGGCCAGGACTCTGCGGTCTACACTCATCTCCAGGCCAGCGGTCACTCTTTCAGGGATGAAGATGTGCACATCCTGGACAGAGAGGAATGATGGTTTGAGAGGAGTAAAGGAGGCCATCTTTGTGAAAAGAAATCGTCCATCATTAAACAGGGGTGGAGGCCTCCGGGTTCAACTGTCCCCCTCTTACAATGCTGTGATTGCTAGTATCACTCAGCCCTCTGTGAACAGTAAACAGCCATCAGTGTGCTAATGATCCATTGTTATGCTGATGGTCCTTCTTGAGCATGTGATCAGCTGGTTTTGGTTGTCAGCAGCAAAACTGGTTGATCCACCCTGAGACGGTGCTATTTAAGAGACTGAGCTGAATACAGCTCCTCAGACTGAGGAAGTCTCTCGGATGAGAGACGAAACGTTTCTACATTTGTTGTTTTGCTTTGTTTTGGGTTTTTTTTGAATGTCCAGAGGACCAGATTTAACTTTTTTAGACAATACTTCTAGCTATTTTAGATTGAACATATTTAATATTGTTAGGATTTGTGGTCGGAGCGAACCCAGAGTGCAGAACAGGGACTCAACTCGGCAGTAATACAAAAACAGGTCTTTAATGATAAATGAAAAGTACAAAATAAACAAGCTGACGGGGCAGCAAAACTTACATAAACAAGGAGGGAGGCACGGGGAACTCAGGAGACACGGGGAACTCAGGAGACACAGGGAACTCGAGGA